ATTCTTCTGTACAGCAAAAATTACCAATAACAAAATAGAAAGAAAAATAACAAATCTGGAAAACATATGACCCCCCAAAAAGTTAAGATATGTAACAAAGACATCCTGGACGCCTGGCTGGCTCAGTCAGTAGAGCGTGTGACTCTTGATCCCAGTCTCATGAGTTCGAGCCCCACATTGGGTGTATAGATTACTTAAAAATAAAATCTTTTTTTTAAAGATTTATTTCTTTTAGAGGGGGGAGGGTAGAGGGAGAGAGACTCTCCGGCAGACTCCCCTCTGAGCGCAGAGCCCAACACGGGGCTCGATCTCCCAACCCTGAGATCATGACCTCAGACAAAATCAAAAGTTGGACGCTTAACTGACTGAGCCCCCCAGGCACCCCCAAAATAAAACCTTTTTTAAAAAATAGGGGCACCTGGGTGGCTCGGTCGTTAAGTGTCTGCCTTCGGCTAAGGTCATGATCCCAGGGTTCTGGGATCGAGCCCCGCATCGGGCTCCCTGCTCAGCGGGAAGCCTGCTTCTCCCTCTCCCACTCCCCCTGCTTGTGTTCCCTCTCTTACTGTGTCTCTCTCTGTCAAATAAATAAATAAAATCTTTTATTTATTTATTTATTTTTAAAGATTTTATTTATTTATTCATGAGAGACAGAGAGAGAGAGAGAGAGAGGCAGAGGGAGAAGCAGGCTCCCAAGGAGCAGGGAGCCCAATGTGGGACTCGATCCCAGGACCCTGGGATCATGACCTGAGCCGAAGGCAGACACTTAACCATCTGAGCCACCCAGGCGCCCCGTAAAATCTTTTTTTTTTTAATGTCCTACAAGTCAATAAGAAAAATATGAAGAAACCAACAGAAAAATTGGGAAAAACACATTAACAGGCAGTTTGACAAAATAAAGGTGGCCAATAAATATATGAATTATGTTCATTCTTCCTAAGAACCAATGAAATGCAAATCTCAACAAAATAAGACTTTCTTTTCATGTGCGATTGGCCAAGATTTAGGGGCAGTATGATTCATTAAGGGTCTAGAGTGTGAGAGCCAGATAGTTTGGATTTGAATCTCACTTTCTAAGCATGTAGCCCTTCGTGTCTCAGTTTCCTTATCTGTAAAACTGTAATAAATAATAGCACTTAACTCCAAGCTTCACTGTGAGGGTTAAATAATGTCCGTCAATTAGTACTCAGATTAGTGCCTGACACATAACACATGCTCTATAAATATATTTGGCTATCGTTACTTAAAAGGTTGATCTTAACTTTCAGTAGTTAGGGCATACAGAAATAGAAACATTCATAATCCATTGAAGACAGTGTAAATTCATTTATTTATTCACCATATATTTATGACCCACTAGGGACACAATAGTGAGCAAAAGAGACTCAGTCTCTACCCTCACTGCTAGCATTCTCAGAAGTCTGAACCTTTGAGGAGGGCAATTAGGCAACATATGCCACATCATAAAATGTTTACCCCCTTGACCCTGCAATTCCACATTAGGAAGTTTATCATAAAGAAATATTTGGGGGGGCGCCTGGGTGGCTCAGTCGTTAAGCGTCTGCCTTCGGCTCAGGTCATGATCCCGGGGTCCTGGGATCGAGCCCCGCATCGGGCTCCCTGCTCCGCGGGAGGCCTGCTTCTCCCTCTCCCACTCCCCTTGCTTGTGTTCCCTCTCTCGCTGTCTCTCTCTGTCAAATAAATAAATAAATAAATAATCTTAAAAAAAAAAAAAGAAGTATTTGGGGAGGGCGCCTGGGTGGCTCAGTCGTTAAGCGTCTGCCTTCGGCTCAGGTCATGATCCTGGGGGCCTGGGATCAAGCCCCGCATCAGGCTCTCTGCTCAGCGGGAAGCCTGCTTCTCCCTCTCCCACTCCCCCTGCTTGTGTTCCCTCTCTCACTGTGTCTCTCTCTGTCAAATAAATGAAATCTTAAAAAAAAAAAAAAAGAAGTATTTGGGGAAACTTATGAAGATTTATTTAGTGGCATTCATAGTACCTGGGATCACAGTCTTAAAGCTGCAGGACCAACCTAAGTATGAGCACTGGTTAAATAAATCACATGACATCATGCAGCCTTCATATAGGAAGCACTGTCCCTGCTGACCTGGGGCAGGCACAGAACCATGTCCGAAAGACGAGCCCATTCTGGGATAGGACAAGCATCAAGGGGCGTTCTGCTCCTGGCTGTGTGTCTTTCTGCATAGGCTAGCTTTTTCCTTTCGACAGGATGCACCATGCTTATATCCTGGGTAGAAATCAAGCTATTTCCATGGGAGGAGTGAAACAAAGCATTCATTGGCTGAAAAACCATGTCCTATCACTGTCCACTACCCCAGGCATGCAGTCCTGCCCCCAGTCCTCACTTTCCGCCCACGTTCTGGGAGCTTGTCCTTCTCTGACTGTGTCTTTTCGCAGTGCGGCTCCACCTGGTGGAGAGAGTCCTGGGGCACAGGGGTGGGCACTGGCCCTGGGACTGCCTGCTCAGGTCCCAATTCCCACTAAAATGCTAGCCCTGGATGGCCAAGCTGCTAGGAGCCCCGAGGAGCCCACAGCTCATCACACCCCACAGATCCCACATCTAGGTGGACAAACCTGGTGTATCTGATCCCAGAGTGGATCTTTTGTCAACACCTCCTCTGCTATACTGCAATATGATTTTCAGTAATAATCATCTAATAATCAGCAATAATTATTGACTCATTCTTTACTTTTAATAAGCAATTAAAATTAGCAATTTTAAATACTTTTGTTTTTAAAATATTCAAATTCAGTAAGATATTTCATATATGAAATAAAGTTTGCACCAACCAAACAAAATTATCACAGCTTTTAAATTTTAAACACAAATAAAAACTCCAAACGGTCACAGAATTACAGAAGTGAGAAAACTGAAGTGGTTTCTTCCTTGTTACAATCACTCTGGTGTCATTGTTCACCTCAAACCTAAGGCTTAACGAGAGAAATATGTGTTATCTCAGGGTGAGGAGACACTAACTGCCCCTTGAGCTCTAAAAACCATTCACAGTGCCCAACCATGAAGCACTAAGCCTCCTAAGAAAACCTTGTAGTGGGTCTGAATTAATGTCCATACAGAATACAATGTTTCCTAAAGGATGGGTGATAAAAATTGCTAATTTGAAACTTACTATACCCTACTAAAATTCAACAGTAACCACAGTATTGTTTAAAACTTGACCAACAAAAGATTTGTGGAGTAGGAGTATTTGATCTCTGATCTTTAGATTTGCTGGTCTCATGGGAATAATAAAAAGCTGATCAACTTTGGCTGTATTATTTTTAAATTCTCTACAGACAAGGCACCCTCTACCTGCCTCTCCCTTTCAGCCCTCAGGTCCTCTTGGAGGAACCAGACGTGTGGCTTCCAGCAATCCCCATGCTGGTTCTCATTCCATGCCACACTGGGCTCAGAACTCCCTTAGCAAAGAACAGAATTCCCACAAACCACTAGGCACTCCTCATCCCCTTCCTCTTCCAGGAGCCAGGCAGGCGTGCTACAGAGCTCAGGAGAATGGATACATTCTTTTAGTTTACTTGATTGTTCTTTTTCCTGTTTCTAAGATAAATAATAAGTTTCTTTACACTTAAATTTTTTCTTCATTAATAACGAAGTTATACAGCTTTAGCTATGTCCTATAGAGTTGGATACGAGGGATCTGATCTACCTTTGCAAGGTTTTATATATAATGTGTAACTTCACATTTGAGTTTCCCTTTGATCCAGCGGTTTTTAAGAGAATTTGTTAATATCTAAGTATTTAAGTTTCTTTTAAAAAATATTTTATTGTTTGCTTAGATTTATTTTGGACTTTGCGGGCACCTGGGAGGCTCAGTCGGTTCAGCATGGGACTCTTGGTTTGGCTCAGGTCATGATCCCGGGGTGGAGGGATGGAGCCGCACCTCCGACTCCAGGCTCAGGGCAGAGAAGCTTGAGATTCTCTGCCCCCCCCCCGCCCCTCCCCCAGCTCACAGGCCTGCGTGCACATGCATGCGCGCATGCATGCGTTCTCTCTTAATTAAAATCTTTTTAAAAAATTATTTTGGACTTTGTGCAAATATGTGTCCTATGTCTCTTTATTCAGATTGTATGTTTGTTTTTAGTTTTGTGGCCCAGATTATTTTTGCAAATATTCCGTGGACTTAAATAGATGCAAAGTTCTCCCTACACGTAACAATTAAATTGAACCTTCTGTTTGTACTATTTATCTTCTGTATTCTCATATTTGTTTGTTTGTTTTTCTGCAGATCCGTCCATTTTTGGAATGGGGTGTATTGAAGCCCAGGGCCCAAATACAAGCTGCCACCGAACACCGGTACCAGCGTCGGGCGGGTGTACACGGAGGGGGCTAGCGGTCCAAGGCCCAGCCTGCAGGGCTCCAGCAAGTGCTGTGGACTCCGAGGAGGAAAAGCCCGGTCGGCAGAGGGTGCGGGGGGGATGGGCGGAGCCAGGTTGGGGTACGGGGAGGTCAGTCCCCGTTGCCAGGAGGCGCAGTCTGGACACAATGGGGTCTGGGAGTGGCTGGGCGGGGGCGGGAATCCAGGCACCCCCACCTTGCCTTCCCGGCCGGCAGCCACAAAAAAAGGTTAGTGCATCAACTTTGGGGCCCCCTCTGGGTACCGGGTTCCCCACGCCGCCCCCTCACCCCGGTGTCCTTGCCCTATGCCCCTAAAATATCCCGACCCCCAGAACCCCAGGGAATTCCTTTCCCGCAGGGTCGAGACCAAACTTTGCGCGCTCACACATCCCTACTGGACTCGTTTTGGGGGCAGGGGATGGGAGATAGGGCCCCCGCCCCCGCGCAGGGCCGGCAAAGCTCGGGTTTGTTTTCCCGGCTCCTGGGATACACGATGGGCCCCGCCCCCGGAGTCGCGAGGAGCTGGAGCCGCGAAGCGCGCCCTGCGGAAGCTGTGGGTGGAGGGGCCGGGGCCGCCACCTTCTGTCCACAGGTACCGCAGGCCGTAAGCGCACCCCACCCTTGCGCGCTATGGGCTCGGACATCTGGGTCGGCCCTTGGCGGCCCCACCGGCCCCGCGGCCCCATCGCAGCGCTCTACAGGGGCCCAGGGCCCAAATACAAGCTGCCACCGAACACCGGTACCAGCGTCGGGCGGGTGTACACGGAGGGGGCTAGCGGCGTCTGGGGGGACGGCGGGCTGTGTCCGGGACAGGGAGCGGCGGGGACCCATAGTGGTGCTGGGACGCTCCCGCAGGCTACATGCTGCACGACCCGTCGCGGCCCCGCGCTCCGGCCTTCTCCTTCGGCGCGCGCCTCCCCACGCAGCAGACTTCTTGCGGCCCGGGGCCCGGCCACCTGGTTCCTGCTCGCATGACCGTGCGCGGCCCCGACGGCACCCCCGCCTACTCCATCTACGGCCGCCCCCGCCACGCAGCGCCCCTCCTCACTCCCGGACCCGGTCAGGACCCCTGGGACCCCGGTTTCCCCAACACCGAGCCTCCTCCAAGAAGGCCCACCAGGAACCCCCCACCTAAGCCCCGATCCGCCCTCGTGTACCCTACCACTCCAAATTCGGTACCCCCATATCCGGATCTCAAAAGAACTCCAAGCCCCACCGGGCTTTGACAAATCGTGGCTCGGATTCACCCTAACCCCAGACCCCCAACCCGGGTCCCCACTACGCCCCCAAACCGGTTCCGGCCCACACACCCGGTCCGCCCTGCAGGCACATACTTCCCTGAGCGAGCTGGGAACGCGACGTACCCCTCTGCGCCTCGGCATACCATCGCTCCCCGAAACTGGGGCATCCCTGAGGAGCAGCAGACCCCAGGTGAGACTAGAAAGGCCCATTCCAGCACCGTGGACCTTCCCATCCCCGACGGAGAACCACTCTGCAGGCTGCGGCAGGGAGATCCTGGCCTGTCCACGAAGACTAACCCCTAGACCCACCCTTCTCTGGCCCCTCCCCAGGCCCTGGGACCTACAATGTGCCCTCGCTCTTGGGTCCGCGCGTCATTGGTAAAGTCTCGGCCCCAACTTACTCCATCTATGGCCGCAGCGCAGTGGGCAGCTTCTTCGAGGACCTCAGCAAGGTGGGGTAGGGGCTGCCGGGCGGGGTGTAGCTAGGGGTCGGAGGGGCGGGCCACAGGGGGTCACGAAGTAAGAGATGAGGGCCAGTGGTCAGCGGGGAATGAAGGCCGGACCCAGCGCCCCTGCCGCCCTCCCACAGACCCCGGGCCCCTGCGCCTACCACGTGGTGAACACTGGGATCTACAAGTCTCGGGCCCCCCAGTTCTCGATGCTGGCGCGGACTTCGCTCCCCCAAGACAACACCCTGAATCCGGGACCCGCAGCCTACAATGTGGACCAGGTGGTCTGGAGTCCCGGGCCAAGGGTCAGAGGCGGGGGTCATGAGGGTCAGGGTCCTGGGAGGGTCCCGGCGCGGGGCTGCAGGCCTGGCCCCGCGAGGTCAGCGACGTCTCCTGGTCCCGCAGCACCGGAAGCCTCGCGGCTGCAGCTTCGGGATCCGGCACTCGGACTACCTTGCCTGGGTCCTGACCAATGCAGATGATTGACCGGCCGGGAGGGCGCGGCCCCACAGACGTTTGCTTAAAGCTTCCCGAGCCAGCAGCGTGTCCACCCCTCTGTGTTCGCGGCGGGCGCGCGGGGCGGGGAGCGAGCGCGTCGGGACACTCGGGCCCGGGAAGTCACAGAAGTCGCGCGCCCGGGGGCCTTCGTGATTGGTCGGGGCAGAAGTGAGCGGGGGTCGTCCCGCCCCCCTGAGGCAGCCATTGGCCCAGAATCCCGCCTGTCTGGGCGGCCCGGCCCACCCGCCGTCCCCCTGCGGCCGCGGGCCAGGCCGGGCTGAACCCACCTGGAATCTAAAGCAGGACCGGTGAGGGCCACTGTCCGGGACAGGTTCAGGCCGGGGTCAAGTTGTGAGGCCGAGAAGTGGGAGCCAGACACGGAGACACGCACACGGACAACACAGACACAGGACAGAGGTGCGGATACGAAAGGGAGAAACCGGATCCCGTCGGGACAAGTGCACCTGCCGCAGAGACACGGACACAGGGCGGCGGCAGGTTCCAGCTGTCTCGCACCCCGCAGGTCCGGAGCGATGGGGCCACAGGGAGCCAGGGCCCTCCAGAGCCCAAGCGACTCCCGGAGCTGATCTGCCTGAACGAGACAGGCCGCCCGAGCTAGGGAGACCTCAGGGGCTTCGTGCGCGCCGTGGACGGGAGAGCGCAGGGCGTGCAAATTGGTGCGCAGGAACTTCTGGGCGCCTCTGACCCCAAGATCAGCCCTAGAGACCGCCTGCCCCCGGGGGCCCCAAAGAGCCCCACCCCCGTCAGTGACCCCAGGATAACCCACCGCTGTGGGAGCACCCCCATCGTGTTGGATACTCCACCGTATCCCGTGCCTCGGGGCCATGCTAACGGCCATGCCACTGCAAGGGATGGGCCTGGAGAAGACAGTGGCGCTGACCCAGGCCCTGGCTAAGTCTGGGCAGCAGCTCACAGACAACTATTGCACAGGGGGAGTGGGTGACAAGGTCAGCCCAGTCCTCTTACCTGCCCTGGCTGCCTGTGGACCGCAAGGTTAGAAGATGCCTCCTTTCCAGACCTTAAAGAGGTTAGCAACCCACAGGCAGTTTCTAATTTCAAGCCTGGCCTAGACGGAGTCCCCAAAGGCAGACCCAGGCTTCTCACCCCCAGGACAGAACTTAGGTTCCCTCCCCCCATCAGCCCCCATAACAGGATCAAGTTATCCAGCCCCTTGGGTACCCCAGTCAGGACTCCCAAGAGAAGAACCGGGTATTCCTCTCCCTTGGTTCCCCAGACTTGAGCCCTCAGGATAGTCCTCATCACTCCCCATACCAAATCAGGACAATTTCTTTTCCACTCCCTCTCCACCAGCGGCACATCCACTACAACTGCTTAGAACTCCAGCTGAAGTCCTAACCAGGGAAAGTAAGGGGAGTAGCTGTGCAGTGCACTCAGCACCCCTGCCCAGCAGGTACCAGTGATCAAGAGATGTGGTCTGGAGTAAGGAGGGCGAGGCACAACTTGGATAAACTGGAGTCTATTTCTCTATTCACTGTCATCCACAGCTCGGGTGGGCTGACTGCTCACTGATCTAGGTTATTGATAGTAATATTGGCCAGAATCTCTGAAGGATCACTGATAGGCCATTCATCAGGGTTGGATATTGATCAAAGTTATTTATGGGTCATTGATGGTCACTGAACTTCCCTCATCAGAAAAACTTCAAATGGAGTCATTAATAGGGACTTGATTAAAATCACTGTTGGGTCTCTAATCAATCATTAATGGGCCATAGGACATTGGTCAATATCCCTGATGGGTCAGAACAGTCATTAATAAGGACTTATCAGAATTGTTCATAAGTCTGTGGTCATAGTCTTGGAAACTCGTCATGGTTGCTGATGACAGTGTCAGTGCAAGGGTCACTGAAGGTCACTGGGAGTCCTGATGCAGGGGAGTTTGGCCAGATGTAGGGGCTGCTAGAGGGAGTGGCCTGCTGTCCTGTGCATCAGGGCAGGAGGCTGGTTCCTGTGGATGGACTCCTGTATGAAGCCAGAAGTGTCAGCCACCGTTAACAGCCTGCTAGTCATCACAGGTAACCTGACCCCAGACTCTGGGTCTACCCCTGCGTATTAAAGATGCCTGACCTCTGACCACACAAAGTCCAGATCCCCATCAGGGGACCATGGGACCTCCCCCAAAAAAGACGATCTGGACCAACCCCAGGGTCAGTGTCCCCTCATCACAATATGCCTGACCACTGGGGCGCCTGGTTGGTTCAGTTGATAGAGCATGCAATTCTTGAGGCCAGGGTCATGATTTCGAGCCCCACCTAGGGTGCAGAGATTATTTAAAAAACAAAACAAGATGCCTGACCACCAACTCAAGAGGGTGACCTGACTGATGCCCCCTCCCCCATAGGGAACTTGGCCTCAATGTTCAGGGTCCTTAACCTTTCTTAACCCAAGAGTCAGAAATCCCCACATCCCCTAGGAAGCTCCAGGCTCCTTATCACCTCCAGCCCCCTCTGCCTCCCCCCACAGCCTTCATCCTTGGTCAGAAGACGGTGGAGAGGGGCGCCTGGGTGGCATAGTTGTTAGGCGTCTGCTTTCGGCTGGAGTCGTGATTCCGGGGTCCTGGGAGGGAGCCCCGCATCGGGCTCCCTGCTCCGCGGGAAGCCTGCCTCTCCCTCTCCCACTCCCCCTGCTTGTGTTCCTTCTCTCGCTGTCCCTTTCCCTGTCAAATGGATGGGGGAAAAAAGCTGGTGGAGAGCCCATCCGCTCTGGTGGTGGACTTGAAGTTTGGAGGGGCAAGTATTCCCTAGCCATGCCCAGGAGCTGGCTAGAGCACTGGTGAGCACCTGTGCGTGCTGGACCGTGTGTGGCCTCTGTCCGGGTGGGTTTCCTAATGTGAGCTCAGTCTCCCCTTTCTAACTCTGGTAGTTTGGTCGCATAGCCTCTTGAGAGCTGGAAGACCGCTCAGCCCCGGGGCTGCTTCGAGTGGAAGCTCGGGCGCAGAGCCTGGACCTGGGCCTGGACTGAGAGCTATGCTCCGGGACCCTCGCGCCCGGGAGCAAGAGGAGTTCCACGCGCCCGTGGACAGTGGGCGCCGGGAGCCCTCCGTCCCTCCCCACCAAACCCTGCCGCTTCCCTTCCGAGTTCCTCTTTTCCTTCCCCGAGCCCTGGCCTTGGCCACTCTCCTTCCTGAGTCCCGGATTCTCATCCGCGGCCCCAAGTCCTCCCGCCCTCCCCCCGGGACCCCCTGGTCCCCTACCGCGGCACCTCGGGCCGGCTCCGCGGAGCTCGTCCGGGGTCAGCGGCGCGGGGGATCGGGGGATCGGCTCCGGCGGCGGTGGGCTCGGGGCTGCGCCGCTGCGAGCGCCGATCCCCGCCCCTCCTCGCGCCCCGTGGCCTTTAGGAGACGTCGTGCCCTCGGACCGCGGGCTCTGCGCCGACCGACACACAGCAGTAAGGCCGGAGGGCGCGAAGCCGGGTCCGCGGCCGGCGCGCGGGCGGTCGGCAGAGGGCTGAGAGGGAGCGAGCCCCGAGGCTTCCGAGGGAGGTGCGGCAGCCGCCCGAGGGAGCAGGGAGGGGCGAGGCCAGAGAGGAAGCCCCGCCTCGCCCTGCACTTGGCCTCAGGCGGCGACAGACAGCTTTTGCGCACGCGCGTGGGGGGCAGGGGGCGGGAGAAGAGCGGGCCTCACGCTGCATGCGCATGCGCGTCGCCCTTGACGCAGGCGCGCTGGTGTCGAGCGTGCCGCTAGCGCAGAACCCTGGCGACCCCGACCGTGCATCGCGGTTGAGGCCGCGGCTGCGACTAGCTCGCCGAGAGCGGGGCTGTCCCCTAACGCGCGATACTGACGCCGGGTCCCAGAGAGCCTGGGTCGTGCCCGGTGCGTGGACCCGCCGGTGTCCAGCTTTCTGAACTTCCGTTGGGCAGACAGCTGCGCGTCGCGGAGGGCGCCCTGGAAGTGGGGCTCCCAGAAGAGAGGGGCCCAGGAAGTATCCACAGGCCGCTTTCGCTTGCCAGGCACATCCCGTGCACAGCTTGGAGGGCGTATGTAAAGGAGGAAGCTGGCGTGGAGAGGCTGTGCGACGTGCCGAAGGTCATCGAGCCCCGAGCGCGAGCCACCGGACGTGGCGGAGACCGGACGTGGAGGAGTCCCCGGGAGGGTCTTTTCAGCAGCTGAACAGGTGAGGGGGGAGTCCTAGGACTGCCACCTGGCACTTTCCAGGGGCTCCTGCGAGACAGTCGGGGAGGACACGGAATTCGGTGTCGGAATCCCGGATGTGAAGAGGGTGGGCTTGTGCCAAGTCGAGACCTCGCTTCTCTTCCGGGATGAGAGCACCCGGAAAGCTCGACGTGGAAGGGGCGCCCTGTGGGCGGAATGGTGTGGGCGCACAGGGTTGCTGCCGAGCGCGGGGTGGGCAGGCCGCAGAAGGGCCGGGGGAGTCCATCCTTGGGGGGTGAGACTAAACTCGCCCGCCTCCAAAAACGGTTTATTGCAAACAGACACACATGCTCAGGAACTCAGACGAGGCATGCACTTGGAATGCTTTCAGTCAGCTAAGATGGTGAGGTGCAGGAGTGCTTCCCAGGCCACACAGAGCTGCAGGTGCAGGACGGGGGGCCAGGGTGGGAGAACAGGCATGGGCATTGGGGGGGGGACACCTAAGCTGGAGCTGAGCTTCCATCGGTTGAAGCACTTCTGTGCTCTGCAGAGCACTAAGGGAGCAGCTGCGGTGAGCCTGAGTATGGGCTTGGTCCTTTAGACGGTGTCAAGTCTCCCCGGAGCTACGGGGGTTGACCCAGGAGGCTGAGGCCACTACAGGCCCCTGACACCTGTGCTCTCTTCCAGGAGCATTAGGCCCATGCTGCTGCTGGTTTGGACACCCAAGGCTTGGCACAGGCTCTTTCTTCTCAAGCCCCCAGCTCTCCTTTGGACCCCAGGAGGCGAGGCCCTACACATGAGGTACCGGCTCATGTCAAGGCAGGGCCCTGGAGAGGCGAGCAGGCAGAGCCAGCCCCAGGGCCCTGGGTTTCGGACCAGGCTATTGATCACTGCTTTGTTTGGGGCTGGGCTGGGCGGGGCCTGGCTGGTGGCAAGGGCTGAGAAGGAGCAGCGGAGGCAGCAACAGCGGACAGAGGCCCTGCGCCAGGCAGCTGTGGGCCAGGGTGACTTCAGCCTGCTGGACCACCAGGGACAGGCTCGCTGCAAAGCTGACTTCCGGGGTCAGTGGGTCCTGATGTACTTTGGATTCACTCACTGCCCCGACATCTGCCCAGATGAGCTGGAGAAGCTGGTGCAGGTGGTACAGAAGCTGGAGGCCGAGCCTGGCCTGCCCCCAGTGCAGCCTATCTTCATTACTGTGGACCCTGCACGGGACACCGTCGCAGCCATGGCCCGCTACGTACAGGACTTCCACCCACGGTTGCTGGGCCTGACCGGTTCTGCTGAGCAGGTAGCCCAGGTGAGCCGCAGCTACCGCGTCTACTACAGCGCTGGCCCTAAGGATGAGGACCAGGATTACATTGTGGATCACTCCATCGCCATCTACCTGCTCAGCCCTGACGGCCTCTTCACAGACTACTACGGCCGGGCCAAATCAGCACAGCAGATTGCGGACAGCGTGAGGCGCCACATGGCTGCCTTCCGCAGCGTCCTGCACTGAGTCAGGTCATTAAAGAGGGTGTGATGAAGCTGTGTGCCTGTCCTCTGTCCCAGCAGCCCCAGGAGGCCAAGGCAGTAAAGGGCTCGGGACCTGGTCACTTGCCGAGGGTGTAGGGCATAGGCAGCCCTTTCCCTGCACAGAGCAGGAGTTTAATTTTTTGAAGGGTTAGGTGGGATGGCAACACCATTTTATTGGGCTGGGCCAGCCAGGAAACAAGGGTAGAGTGAGCAAATGCATGCCCAGCACCCATGAGGGATGGACCTCCAGAGCCTACCCCTCAGCCTCAATGCTCCCCAAATCAGGGCTGGGCCATGGAGGGGGCAGCATAGGTCTGGAAGCGCTTGTGGGCCCGCTGGTGCGTGAGTAGTCTCAGGGACATGGTGTCCACGGCCGCCTCCAGCCCCGGCTGCTGGGTGATCTCCACCGTGTAGTCATTGGCCTGTAGGGATGAAGTGTCAGCCGAATCGGGGACCACTTCCCTCCCAGGCTCCCCAGGCCACTCACCAGCTGCAGGGACGCCAGCATGGAACGACACACCTCGAAGGCAGGCTGGCCAGCAACTAGCTCCGCAAAGGGACACCACTGGTTGAGCTGGCTGAACCTTGAGACTACCTGGTCCCCATAGGTATGGATGTCAAAGGGCACATGCTGTTCCTGCGAGGAGGAGGAGCAAGATCCTGGGGCAAAATCAAGGCAGGCAGCAGGGGAGTCCCTACTTCTCAGCCAGAGCTTGGCCCAACCCCTCACCTGCTCTTGGAGCAGGGGCTGGATAGTGTCCTCCCAGTTCCTGATGCGCTGGCTCAGCTCTGTCTCCTGGACGAACTTCTGAGAGGTGGCGATGAAGAGCTCCTAGGGGAGGACCAGGGAGCTGCCACCTTCTGTGCAGGGGCCCCTTGCCCAGCAGCCCACCTACTCTAACTCAGACTTACCACATTCCTTCGGACCAGCTCCTCATAGCTCAGGGACACTGGCATGGCCTCTGCTTCTGGAAAAGGGGCAACTATGAGCTGCTGTGGCCACAGGCCACACCCTTTCCCCTCTCCCCTGTCCTCAGAGGCCCCTCGTGACCCCCTGGCCAGCAGCCCCCCTCAGACCTACCCAGTTCCGCAGCTTCCCCAGGCTTTGCCTCCTGAGGCTCTGCATACTCCTCAGGCTCTAGAAAGTCATCTGCTGGTAGACAGAGAAGACCCAACAGGAAGCAGGTTTGCTGGCAGCACGTGCTGAACCCCCCACCCTGGCCCATCCCAGTAGGCTCCCACCTGCTGTCCCCAGATCCTCCAGGGAGTCCTCCAGCTGGTCCTCCACAGGCCACAGCCCTTCCTCAGGCCTCGGCAGCCACCGCTCGGCCATCTGTGCAGACAGCATCTATGAGGGGCACTGCTGTCCCCACTAGGGGCCATGTGGGGTCCAGACAGTGGCCAGTACTTACCTCCCGCCTCTGAAGCTTCCGGAGAGTCTCCAATTGCTCCTTCACGTGCTTCCAGTACAGGACCTCCATGTCTGCATACAAAGGCCTTGTGAGAGGGGCTCCCATGTCCTGCACAGGCACCCCCAGTCCACCTAGAGCCTTGGGCACCCCCCAGGTCAAGGGGAGGCAGACAGAATATGACACTGCACCACTGTCCCTCAGGAGAGTGTACACACACCTCTGACCTCACCTGCAAAGGACGGGCCCTTTCGCCGGGACCTCCTGCTGTCAGCGTGGTCAGCATCTTCAAGAGAATTTGGTCAGCAGTAACCAAGCCAAGTCCCTGTAGGCTATATACCTGGACCCTCCTGCCCTGGCCCAGCCCCACCACCACTCACAGGCAGCCAGGTACCACTGGTGGAAGTCCTGCAGCTTGGTGGCACCCTTCCTCTTGCGCTTCTGTCCTGGAACCTCCTCCACGCAGGGGGGCACGGAGTAAGGCCTACCTGGGGGCAAATGACTATGTCTCCGAGCACAACTTCGGGCCCTGTGGCAGGTTATGGCATCCACACGCTCTAGGAGCAACTGCACAAGGGAGCACAGCCCCACCAGGCTCCTAATGGGTATAGAGCCCACCCTCATCAACCACCAGTGCTCCAGAGAACCCATCCACAGAAGCCCAAGTGAAGGTGACCCTCCACCCAATTACCTTTCTTGAAGGGCTTAGAGTCCAGGGAGTCAAAGGGGTCCAGGCTCTGCCAGGGGTCCGGAGTCTCCTGAGCAGAAAGCACAAGCAGACACTGTGGCGGGGGGAGCAGGGGATGTGCACCCTCCCGCAAAAGCCCAGACACTGAGTGCAGTGACGGCCAGAGGATCCAGGACCAAGGGTGACACACCAGGGAGGGAGATGCCCCAGAGCGGCAGAAGAGGTGATTTAATTTCTGGAGAAAGAAAATTCCTTGCAAAAGAAAGCCAGCACAAAGGGCCTCAGGCTAGGAGCCCAGGCATCCAAGGCTCTGAAAGCTAGCAGGAGTGAGGGGTGGGCAGTGGGGCTCTGGCAGGGGGTCTTAGCCCACTGCCCCTCACCTTCATCAGGGGCGCTGGCTCCTCTCGCTCCCGTAGCATGCAGGGACTAGGCTGGGCAGCACTCTGCAAAGAAACAGCCCCAGGATCCCTCTCTCCCCCGCCACCCAAGGTGCAGGCAGCCCAGCAGCTGTGCTCTGGGGTCAGACGTCAAGAACCCCGCAGGGACCCTCTGAGGGCAAACAAAAACTCTAGGAAAAATTTTAGGAGAACATACAACCTAGTAAACTAGTGGTCATGGGGTGCTTTTTTTTTTCTTTAAAGTATATCAAATATAATAATATGATAAACATCATGCATCTACCAATCAAAATTAACAAATGTTAACGTTTTTCCTATGTGCATCAGAGTTTAATAAAAAGATTTCTCAGCTCCAGGCTGAAATACAAAGCTGACCGTTGAGGGTGGAGGGAAGCAGCCAAAGCCTCCAAAGCCCCACCCCCTCCGGCCAGCCTGACCTCAGAAGAGTCAGCTTTGGAAACCAGCTGCCATCCTAGGTAGTAGCCATGACCACCACAGGGCTCAGACCCTTGAACCCCAGCTCCGTTCTGAGGAGCCGCAGCTGTTCTGCTCAGAAAGAGGAATGACGTGATAGGCACTGCCCTATAGGGCTGGGTGCAAAGCCAGGTCCAAGGCTGTCTGGAGGGTGCACCCACAGCCCTGGTGTGCAAGGACCAGAGGGAAGGAGCAAGGACCTACGGGCCTGGGGGCTAAGCCCACAGGACTGCCTATCCCATGTACATGTGGGGAAGCTTGCCCGGCTGATAGCTCGAGCTTTGCAGGCCTCAGTCAGGGTCCCACCTGCTGCGGGCTCCTGGGTTCCTGGGGCTCCTTAGGGCCCTCGGGGGCTGTGGCTTCAGGGAGCTCTGCTGCCCCCTCTGCATCCTCATCCTCACCACCACCTCCAGGCATTGGGCCTTCTGGAGAGGCACCTGAGCAGGGGAGTAAAAGACCAGACAGCAGGTGGGAGGCTGCCCTTGACCAACACCCAGGAGAACCTTCGAGGCCCTTCCTTCACTCAGCCTCATTCATCAGACCCAGAGAAAGTAGCAGGGCATTTCACACTCTTCTCGTCATGCCACTCTGTTTTTTTGGCTCCGTTTCGTTTTTAGCAATTTTTCTCCTGAAATGCTGCCATCCGTGCTTGCCCAGAGAGGAGGAGTAGGTCCAAACCTCAGAGGCCCAAGAATGGTCAGAGGGCAGTCATGAGACCAAGACAGCACAGTGCGCCAAAGTGGGGAGGGAGGTCGAGGCCTAGGCACAAAGAAGCCAGGCTTCCTTTCTCCCCACACCTCATCCCTGGGGTAGCTGAGCACAGCCCCGTGAAGAGCCCCATCCTCCCACCTCCACCCCCACCCTCACCCTGCAAGTCCACCACGTCCTCTCTTCTCACCTGGCTCCTGGGAGACGTTGACCACAGGGACAGGACTGCACACAGAGACTTCCATTGGCTGCTCCTCAGCCCTCTCAGGCTCTGGGAAAGATAGGAAATTGGACAGGGTCAGCCCTCCCCCTCCCCCAGGGGGCCCCTCCCAGGGGCTGGGCAGGGAGAGTCAAGATCTGGCACAGGACTCAGGCACCCTGGGTTGAGCCAGCTATGGGCAAAGAGGGAGCAAAGGGGAAGTGAGACCCATCTTCAGTGCAGGTGCCTGGGGAAGGGGGTGCCAGGAGACTGGCAGGCACAAGGGACCCTTCCTTCCCAAGCTCCCCACATCCAAGCCCTCACCCTTCTGATTCCTTGGCATCAGTGTCTCCATGGGGGAGATGCCCACTGGCTCCAACATGAAGGCTCCTCTGGGGTGGGGGGTAGACGTATTCATCCTAAAATCCTTCCGGCTGGCCAGGACCTCCCCCTGACAGCTATGCGGGCAAAACACAGCCACTGCAGAGATCCTTCCCAAGCAGCCCTCTCCCCTTACCTGACTCCCCTCAGCCAGGCTCAGGTACCTGCACAGGGGGCTGACATTCTTCTCCATCTCATCAGGGGCCACAAGGGCCATGGGCAGGAGAGGGACGATGAGGACCTCCTGCATGGAGGCCAAGAGTGGGTGACCCACAGGTCCCGCAGGCCCCAGGTGGGGAACCCATAGGGCATGACACCTTCCAACACCCCCTTCAGCTAAATGCAGCCCCTACAGACAGAGGGGCACTCACACGGGGGGGCAGGTCATTCCTCAGATCCACATTAGCACGGGAGTCAGGGAGGTCATCCAGCGACAGGAACTGTGGGGAGAGAGAGCTCAGGAGTGGTGCCTGGCACATGCACAGTGGGCAGTGGCCACGCACCCAAGAAATCTCACCTGGTCCTCCACCTCCTGGGGAGCCGTGGAGCTGGTGTCCCCACTGGCCCCATTTTCCCGCACTGAGGAGAGCTGCTTGGCCCGCCTGAGAGAGAATCAATGCATGGATGTCTGGGAGGCTGCCAGGGCTTCCCCCAAGCTGCTCACAGGGCAGACACACAGGCCTCCACCTCCTGGCTCAGACCAGTACTCACTTCTTGCCAGAGATGAAATCGAGAGCCTGGTAGACCAGCGAGTAGAGGTATTCCACCTGGTGACCAGAAGCAGACAGTGAGGAATGCAAAGAAGTCTACCCCAGATGCTCTATGGCTCTCCCCAGAGCCCTCCCTGTGTATACACAGAGACAAACCTGTACATGGAAAAGCCCACTGCCCTCTCCAAAACTTCCAGTACACGTTCTGCCAATGTAGCTGCCAGAAAGACTTCTCCAGTCCAACTAGCATGTCTCATCAGTTGTGGTCCTCTCCTCTTCCTCTGTCCCCAGGCAGCCCTGCTTGCCTGCAGGCCCTGCACACCGGCCTGTGTGCGGCCCACTGGTCCATCTCCGTGCTGCTCCCGCCCAGCACCCATAGCTCGCTCCCTTCCCTCCCGCAGGTGTGGGCCACCAGCGCCCCACCTCCGGGACCCCACCGTTACAGTGAGGCTTGGGATTTCTGAGATGCTGACCAGCAGGGTGTGCACATGGGCCACCTCTGGGCCATTCCTTCTGGAGTAACCGCGCCCAAGAGCACATGCAACTCTCTCCTCTTGGTCCTGCCTTTTTTTTTTCCACGCAACAGATGTTTATTGCACTTCTTTTATGTATGGGGCTTGGAACTGGACACTGGACACAGTGGGGAGCACAACGGAATGGGCCCCGTTTAGCAGGATTAATAAACATTAACTTTTTTAAGCATCTGCCACATATACAGGACTGTGTTCATGCTTCATGCCATCTGGTCTGTCTGAAGTAGGTATCACTGCTGTTCCCATTTCATAGGAGAATAAACTGAGAGAGATAAAGTCGCCTGGATCAGGGGTAGGTCCAGGATTTGCACGCATAGATGCGTGAATCTCAGGCTGCATGACCTAATCCGCAACCACTAGCTACATGTGGCTTTACCAATTTAAATTTAAGTTAACGAAGTTAGTAAAACTCAAAATTTCTCTGTCACACTAGCCACATTTCGAGGGCTTGGCGGCCACATGTACCTAGTACTTACCACCTTTGATGGCCCAGATCACAGAACGTCTGCATCATTTCAGAGAGTCCTGCTGGACACTGATGCCCCACAGCTTCCAGACTTTACTATTAACATGTCTTTGCATTTGCTTTACCACACACCCACGCATCTATCTGTCACCTCACGTCTCGTGCGAAGTTAATTGCAAGCATTCCTTCTTAGGACAAATGCAGAACATAGGAATCTGATTTAACGGGATTATCTGGGACAAAAACCAACAAGATCTTAAACTGTCTTAATAACTTCTGCTGCCCAGAGGTAAATCCACTGTGTCCTTTGCAAGTTAAGCCTGAATGTAGATCACTCACCCTGCCCTAGTTAGAACCCCATTATACACTTCCAAAGGCTTACCTCCTGTGCACTTTTTCTCTTTCTCCCACCCACTAAACTGCGAATTCTGGATCAGCGCTGTCACCCACTTTTCCTTGCTCCTCCACTAGGGGATGGCTAAGCAAGGCTGGAGGAAACTCACACAAAGAGCAAGGTGCACGGAGTCTCCATCAGACTGCCCGTGCTCTCGATCGGTCTTGTTTTGCGTTCCCCTCAGGAGTATTCCCAACTTTCACCAAATTTCACTCTCCAAATTTCCTACCCAGAAGATGATTCTCAGCAACTGACTTTTATTCTGTTATGAAAATTGGGGTCCTAGGCAGGAACTCTCCAAATGCCTGTGTCCAACTTCATTACATCAAAACTGACTTCTCCCTCCAGACTCCTGAGATAAGGCCCAGCAACCCACGGCCCTGAGCCACTCCTCAACTATTTCTACCAGGATCTTGTTTCACCTGCTGCCCCACCTGCCCTTTTACCCTTCAGCTCTGTGGTGTTCAATCCTGGCTGTCACTAAGGATGTTTTAAGAAATCCTGATACCTGCCCACTGCCCGGTTCTGATCTCACTAGGCCAGGCAGGGGCTAGCTGGGCATGAGATGGATTACAGCTGGGTGGAGGACCACTGCTTTATTTACTGCCCATCCTTGTCCCTATAACCTCTCCTACAAGGGGTCATGTGGTGCCTCCTTACCTCTCCCCACCCCACCGTCTCACCCTCCTCTCACTAAAACCCCTGGTGACCTTCTAATTACAGACCCACCAGATGCTTGAAAACCTTTCCTGTGTGGGTCAATTCACTAAATTCAACAATTTTGGTCTTTTTTCTTCCCCTTTAAAAGTCTCCACATCTCTGACTTCTGAACATTTTTTATTTGCCTTTCTCTGATTTTTCCTTCTGGTGGGCACTTCCTGAATATTGGTTTTTCTCAAGATGTTCCCTTCGTTCTGCTTTTCCTCTTACTCTACAACATGGTTTCTGGGCTTTGGAACTGCTGACATTTTAGACTAGATAATTCTTTGTTGCGTGGGGCTCTCCTGTACACTGTTGGATATTTAGGATTAGCAGCAGGCCCTGCAGTTATAAATCCAAGTTGGTTCTTCAGTTATAATTGTTCAATTATAAATCCAAGCTGTGTTACAAGGTGGTGAGGAAGAGGGGAGACAGGAGGCACTGGCGAGGCAGGGAACACACAGGGGTGAGCCTGACACCTGCCCCAGCAGGAGAGTGAACCTCAGTCCCGTTAGACCAGCAGCCAGGCGGTGCCCACCTTCTTACTGTAGACACAAGCAGACCCCTGGATCAACAGCGCTGCCTCAATGAAGTTCATTGTGGTTTTCCCCTCGTCAAAAGAAATGCAGATCTGGTCCAGCTGCAAGACACAACACCAGGGCATTGGGAAGCCAAAATCTGTGTACACTTCTCCGCACAGAGCCCACCCAGTACCCAGCCTGCAGTGCCCACTCATCACAAGGCACCCCTCGAGCACTGACTCTGCTCGGGGCTCTCTGGTTGTCCTTTTTTTTTTTTTAATCTTTGGAGGCTAGACACAGTGTTCCGGAAAAGGAGGCCCCTTCAGTATTTCAGCCACAATGGCTAGAGCTGCACAGCAGTGCCCTTCTGGAGGCGCTCCACTGAGCCCACCCAAGTCAAGGCCAACTGGGACAAAATCAGGCGGAAGACCCCTCACCCTGAGAGGAGGAAAGGGGAACCTCAGCAGTGCGGAGGACAGACACAAATCGCTGGGGTCTAAATCCTTTGAGCAGAAACTAAGGAAACACTTCCAAATGACTCCTCCTCCCTCCTGTGTAAGCCCTGACCCCCCAGGATTCCCCTGGGCCCCAGCTCCTATCACCTCTTAAGTGTCAGTGGCCCACAGACCATATGCCAACAATCCCCAACCCCATCTACGGCACTGTGCTCCCCTACGCTGCAGGACTGTGCTTAGAGCCTCCCCAAGACAGCTGAATGTCCCCAAGCTTTTTATCTCCAGACTTAACCCAGGGGGTCCCCAGAACCTGACCCCTCTCCTGCACGCCTCTCAGCAAACAGCACTCTGAAGCCCCAACATGTTTTGTCAAGCTCTTTGCCTTTGCTTTCCACCTGCCCAGAATGCCCACTCCCAGCTGTCCTGGTGTGAACGCTCCTGCAGTGTGGCCCACATGCCTGGGGCTTCTCACTGCCTTGTTAGGGCCAATTCCAGGCTGTACCTCGGGGCCTGAAGCTGGTGTCCAGTAAATGTTTGATGAACAAACAAAATGCTGGCATCAGGGCTAAGCCTGAAAGACAGACACTCCTCAGGCAGATGAAGGGTTAGGGTTAGGAAGAGCAACCACTTCCACAAAGGCAGTTAGCAGACCCGGGATTCAACTATTTAGGAAAATTAGTATTATGCAAACATGTCCAAAGCACAGGGTGTGCTGGGGAGCAAGGTTAGACACTAGGCACTATGGGGGCCCAAAGAAGGGGGAGTCTGGGGGGACACCACCAAGAGGCCAACTCTATTAATTCCTGAAGGACAGAGGAAGTTTTTCAGGTCAGTGGAGGAGCATGACAGTCTGAGAGAGTGCAGAGCATTCCAGAAGTGAAGGGCTTTCCCTGAAAGGATATGAAGGAGAGGGCAGCTGGGTCACCCAGGCCCTGAGCTGCAGAGGTGGCCCTTTCTTCTCAGCCTAGGCTGGCTCACCCACTCGTAGGACCTCACACTCCACGTGCCTTCGAACAACTCCTAAATGCATGCTCCAGGTTGGACCTCCCGTCTAAGCCTAAACCCATTATGTCCAACTGCCTTCTTCAAACACCATTTGGATGTCTTAACCAAAATTCATACTGGACAGGTCCACACTGAACCCTAGATATCCCCCCAACCACCCGTCCACAAACCTGCAAGTCTTAGCTCCTTCCCCCATTCAGTCCATGCCATGTTCCCTGCCATTTCCATGCTCCATGCTAACCCGTCTGCTCCTCTCCACACTGACCACCATTCTTGCTCAGCCAGCCCCACCTCTTGCCTAGACCTTGGCACTAACTGGGTTCTTCCCGCCCTTCACTCCCCTCCAGGCTCCTCTTCACAAGCAGGTGCTTCTCTGAAGACACAAGGCAGATTACATCACTCCACTCAGAACCCTAATTGCTTTCTGCCACTCTTACAAAAAAACCCCAAATCCTAAAGAGAGCCTCGCATGCTAACCAGCTTCCCTCTCCAGTTGTCCCCCCTCCCCTACTCGCTGTATAGCGGTCACAAGGGACTCCCTCTCCAGGTCCCCTGTGGAGCCAAGCACTTTCCCATCTCAGAACATTGGAACATTCTTCAGCTCACTTGACTAGCCAACTCCTTTCACCCAAAGTTAGGTCCCCCAGGTAAACTCTTCTTGGAGGCCTCAATTTTTCTTCTGAATCTCTCGTCAGTTTGTTTTTACACAAAGACACAGTGAGGAGGGTGGCCTCTGCTCTGCCACTTATTAGCTAGGACTCTGAGCCCATCTCTTACCCTCTCTGTAGAACTAACACCTGTTCCAACAACTCTGCGTGGTTACTTCCTTAGGATCCATCCTCCCACAAGGGGGAAGCAGGGACTACTGTTTCCTTGCCACTATTTTCTCAGGGTTTAACACGATTCTTGACTATGACAGACACTCAACAACAACGAACAAACCAAGTGATGAAAGAGAATAGCAACATGGTACGATGTGTTAAATTAAAAAAAAAAAAAACTTTCTGGTAGCTGCATGGAAAATGAAAAGGAAAATAAAGACAAAACCAGAAGCAGGGAAATCAGGAATTCAAAGGATAGAGAAGATCTGGAAGAGCAAGCAAAAGAAGCATGAAGGGAGGAGTGGCTTGCTGGCTCAGTCAGTAGAGCATGCAATTCTTCATTTCAGGGCTGTAAATTCAAGCCCCACTCTGGGCTTGGCTTTTTTTTTTTTAATAAAAAAAATTTTTAAAGTCTTTGGATCGCCAGGGTGGCTCAATTGATTAAGCGTCAGCTCAGATCATAAACTCAGGGTCAGAAGATCGAACCATTCGTCGGGCTCCACACTGAGTATGGAGTCTGCTTGAGATTCTCTCTCTCTCTCTCCCCCTCTGTCCCTCCTCCCTACAGGCTCTCTCTCAAAAAAAAAAATTTTTTTTAATTAAAGGAAGGAAGCAAGGAAGCAAGCAAGTATGCAGGAAGGGAGCTGACCAAGCTAGGAAGTAGATTTACCAGGCATCACCAAGCACCCTGCTCACTGTGGAAACCTGAACCCATAGTAGCCCCACCCAGCACAATTCTCTGAATTTTCTCAGCAGTCTACATGTCCAAGCAGAGGAGATCAACAGATCAAGTACTCGTTCAACAAACACTTACTCTGTTCATACTATGTGCCAAGCGTTCTATTATGCAAAGGAAACAGAGTATACACATGGTTCCTGCCCTAGCAGAATTTACATTCTAGAGTGGAAAGACCACAAACAAGTGAACAAGTTAAAGAATAGATTGTGATGAACATTCTAAAGCATGTAATTTACTATAGCAGAACTATTTTAGACAGTGTGGTGAGCTGACGTTTAAACTGAGACATAAAGGATGAGGGGATTAGTTACAAAAAGAACTGGACAAAGAATATTCCCCAGTGGGGGCAGAAAATATAAAGACCCTCGGTCAAGAATGAGTTCCAGGGGCACCTGGCTGGCTCAGTCAGTAGAGCATATGACTCTTGATCTCAGGATTCTGAATTCAAGCCCCAGGCTGGGTGTAGAGATTATTTTTAAAAAATAATAATAATAGTAATAATAAAATAAATTTCCTTAACAAAAAAAAAAAAAGAATGAGTTCCAAAGTTGTAGGCTGACTGGCTCGAAAGAACAGGTGGAGAGGAGCCCAAGATGAGGCTAAAACAGTCAGCAAGGCCAGACTCAGAAAAGGTTTGTACTCTATGCTGAGTGCAGCAGAAAGCCCCTGAGGGGTTTAAAACAGGGCACCACTGCAGCTGAATCACACTTGCTCCTGGATAGAGCATGAATTGGATGGGGCAAAAAAACAGCTTTAAGGAGCCTAGGAAGGAAGGTTTTACACGAATCTGAGGTAAAGAACAGAGGAATTCAAGTGAAATTCTGGTGGTGTAACTGACAGAATTCGTGGGTGAACTGGGTGTGAAGCATGGGGTTTCACTAAAGCAGCTCTTAGCTCTCTCTCACCTTTCACTGATCAGTAGTGCTATTTACCAAGATTAGGAAGACTGGGATTTAGGCAAGAGCTCCACTTTTTTTTCTTAAGATTTTATTTATTTATTTGAGAAAGCGCACGAGCAGGGGGAGGGAGCCAGAGGGACAGGGAGCAGCAGACTCCCCACTGAGCAGGAGCCCAGTCCCGGGCTCGATCCCAGGACCCTGAGATCATGACCTGAGCCAAAGGTAGATGCTTAATGGACTGAGCCACCCAGGCGCCCCAAGAGCTCTGTTTTAATGTATTAAATCTGAGATGCTTGCACAGAACATCTAAGTAGAATGTCAGAAGTGACTAGCTGGACACAAAATAAATTCAGAGAAAAGATCTGGGATGGAGTTATAAATCTGAGAGTTATCCTCATACATATAATACTTAAAATCATGGAAATAAGTGAGACTGTTTAGGGGAGATATAGAAAAAGATGGCCCAGGAGCCCAGAGGAGCTCAACACTCAGACTGGATAGCAGAGAAAAAGCAAGCAAATGACACGGGGAAAAAATCAGAGCAGGTAAACCTGTTCCAAAAAGAGGGAGTGGTCAGCCCAACAAATGCTGCTGGGCCGAATAAGGTCACATTTCCAGCGTCACTGTTGATAAAGATGAGAGCAGTCCAGATGGGCTGCGGAGTGAAAGCGAAGCGCACAAATGGAGCAAACAGCTCATTACAAAGCCGAGACACGGCTGTCAAGTATGAAGAAAGACTAAATGCTGACGAGGAGGAACAGGACAGTGGCCTGAAACGGGTCTGAAAATCCAAGGTAAAAGAATCCCGCTTCACCCGTGATCCAGCTCTCCCAAACACCCAAACATGCATACAAATTCTAGCCCATTGTGTTACACTAGAGCAAAGTGCTAGTCACCGCCCACTGAACCCATTCCACGGCTCACGAACAGGTAGCGACCTGTGAGGACAACCCCAGGCTACTTTAGCAAGAGATGATTTCAGGAGGCAGAGGTGGAACGGGGGGGGGGGGGGGGGACGAGCCTGAGAACGAGCTCGGCCAGAACGCGGACGGACTCAGACGGGGGGCGGGGCGCCGCCGCCCAGCAGCCCCCGGCCCGCCGCCCCGCCTCGCGGCCCCGCCCGCCCGCCCCGCGCCACTCCCCGGGGCCGCACTCACCTCCTCCAGATACTCGCCCAGCTGGGCCGCCACGTCCACCTCCCAGTTCTTAGTGAGGTCGCGGATGGGCTGCAGCAGGTGGGCGAAGCGCGCCTCCGCGTCCTCCATGTCCGGGAGGGGCCGGGGCGGCCCGGGGACCGCAGGGCCGTCTTCGCGGGGAGCCAGCGTCCTCAGCCCGCCACTAGTTCTGGCGCCATTTTGCTGCTCCCGCCCAGGGAAAGGACGTAGCACGCGACGCCGCGCGCACATCTATGACGCACGCGGCCGCAGCCGGCGAGGACGCAGCCGGCGCCGCGCGCCGCCTGGAGGCGGGGCGGGGCGGGGGCGGGGCGGGGCGGGGCGGGGCGGGGCGGGCGGCCCAGCGAGCGCGTCTGCCGCCCGCCGCGTAGCGGACATGGCGGGCTCCGGGGTCCCGCGGCAGCTTTTCCTTCAGGGCGTGGCCGCCGTCTTCACGTTCGCCTTCGCGTCCCTCTACATGCAGATCCCGGGTGAGGGCGCCTAGGGGGATGCCCCCTAGCCCGCGCCCTCTGTTCGCGCACGTCCCCGCGGACACTCCGCCGAGTGGGGCGGGAGGGGTGGATGGAGTGAGGACCAGGCCTCGGAGCCCGGAGCAGCGGCTTCGGTTCGCGTCCTGCGGGCGGCGGGGGCTTGGGGAGGAAGGGGGGCGTGCCGTGGCCCGTTTCCCGTAGGTTCCGGGTCTGACCTGGGGCCGGGGGAGAATTCCGAGCGGGTGGGCCCAGACCTGGCAGGGCAGGTGGGAGAAAAGACAATGAGTGGGAAGAGGGGGGACCTCAGTTCCGCTGGGTGGGAGGCCCTGAGCTGGGGAGTCTGGTAGGCCTCCTGGGGTCTGTTCCGGAAGGGGCTGGGGATCAGCGGGTTCGCATCTGCTTGGCCAGAGTCTGCAGGTCCTGCAGTCCAGACCTCAGGAGGCGGGCCAGGCCCTGCCTGGTGGGGGGAGTCTAGCCTTGGAGGGCAGTGTCCAGGGCCCTGACGTGCCCTCCCACAGGCCTGTATGGTGCCGAGGGCATCCTGCCTGCACGGAGGACGCTGAGGCCACAGGGCAAGGGGCGCTGGCAGCAGCTGTGGGAGACCCCGACGCTGCTGTGGGAGGCTCCGCAACTGGGGCTGGACACCTCGCAGGGCCTGGAGCTGCTGAGTCTGCTGGGCGCCCTGCTGGCCCTGGGCGCGCTGCTTATGCGCAGACTGCGCAACCTCTTCGTCTACCTGCTGCTCTGGGCTGCCTACCTGTCGGCCTGCCAGGCAAGTGGGGGCTGCCTGCTCCCCCCCACAGCACTGAGACCCATGTCACCAGTTCAGTCCAGCCCCGTCCACCCTGCACCTCGCCCCTGTCTCTGCCTTGCCTGCCTCCACAGACACACACCCCCTGCTCCCTGACAACCCTTCTCCCTGCAGGTGGGCCAGGTGTTTCTTTATTTCCAGTGGTGAGTGACTTCTGGGTGAGGGGTTGCGGGGCGGGGGGGGGGCCGGGGCGGAATATGTTTGCCTCTCCAGGGAGGACCCTCGGGGGGAACAGCCTTGATGGGGAGGGCCCTTTGTGCTCTTCCTTCTCCCCATAGGGACTCCCTGCTGCTGGAGACTGGCTTCCTGGCGGCGCTGGTGGCCCCCTTGAGGCAGCCCCCCCACCATAAGCAGGCCCCCCAGGGCAGGCTGGTAGGGGCCTCACCCCACGAAGGCCTCCCCTTCTGGCTCGTGCGCTGGCTGCTGTTTCGCCTCATGTTTGCCTCGGGTGTGGTCAAGCTGACCAGCCGTTGCCCCGCATGGTGGGGGCTTACTGGTGAGGGTCCCATCCTGAATGTGGGGCAGTGTTGGGGGTTCTGCCTCATGCTGACCACCCACTTACCATCTGCAGCCCTCACCTACCACTATGAAACACAGTGCCTGCCCACACCTGCCTCCTGGTTCGCCCACCACCTGCCGGTCTGGCTGCAGAAACTCTCCGTGGTGGCCACGTTCCTCATCGAGATCGCAGTGCCCCCTCTGTTCTTCGCCCCTCTTCGCCGCCTGCGCTTAGCAGCTTTCTATTCCCAGGTAGGTAGGGGTCTCAGCCATCAGGAAGATAGGCCGTGGCATTTTCAGCGCTGACCAGTGAGTCCCTTTGGGATGGAGGGGCTGCTGCAGGCAGTCAGGAAGGCCTCATGAGCGGAGACATGAGTTGACTCAGGATGTGAAGACAAGCCTGTGGGGCAGGGCTGTGGCCTCATTGGAAGATGTCAGTCAGGTTAGCCAAGGCAGGTGGGGAAGGGCTGCATGAGACATGCCGAGCTTCAGTTTGCTCCAAGTGATAGGGAGCTATGGAAGGTGGGAGCAGGGGCAGAGAACAGTTGGAGTGGGAGCATAACAGGCCAGGGGGTGATGAGGAGGGGATGGGATGCCTGTAGGAGAGACCCAGGCATGGGGTTCGGAGGGGCTTGGAAGAAGGCTTGGAAGAGCCAGGAAGGGGGTGGACCTCAGGAGCTCTCAGTGCAGACTCTCCTTTAGGTTTTGTTACAAGTCCTGATCATCATCACTGGCAACTATAACTTCTTCAACCTGCTCACCCTGGTGCTCACCACCGCTCTTCTGGATGATGGGCACCTGACTGCTGAGCCTGGCAACAGCCGCTGCAAAAAGAGACCCACTTGTGAGTGTCAGCTTGTCCCAGATAGCCAAGGATGGTCAGCCCAACGGCCCACCAGCAAGTTTCCTTCCCTCCAACACCCCCCAAGTGACCCCTGCTCTAGTTCCGCCCCAGCCGACCTGTGACTCTCTTGCTCGGCAGCCTGGCCCAGGGCACTGCTGGCTATGCTGTCTCTGCTGTTGGAATTTACCGTCTATGGGTTGCTGGCCTACGGCACCGTGCACTGCTTCGGCCTGGAAGTTGACTGGGAGCAGCATGCTGTCCACTCCAGAACCAGTGAGTGCCAGCTGGGGGGCCAGAGGACAGAGGCTGGACCACCCCTCCTCACACCCCTGTTTTTCTGCAGCCTTTACCTTCCACCAGTTTACCCAGTGGCTGAAGATGGTGACCCTGCCAACCATGTGGCTGGGGGTTGCCTCCCTCACCTGGGAACTGCTGAATGCCCTCTGGAGGTATGTGGTCCAAGGGGGTGGGGTAGAGCTGTGCAGGGCAGGCCTGACAGCACTTGGGTCCCCCGCCCCCCAGGTGGACCCAGGTGCGAGGGTGGCTGAGGAAGCTCTGCACTGCAGTCCAGCTGTTCGTCTTTGGCACTGCTACGGTGGCCTTGTTTGTGATCAGCCTGGTGGGTAGCCCTTGGGGGGGGGGGGCTGGAGGGACAGCACTGAGCTTCTGCCCCCCTGTCTCCAGGTGCCATACTCCTATATCGAGCCCTCGAGCCACGGGCACCTCTGGACGGGGGCGCACCGCCTGTTTGGTGCCGTAGAGCACCTGCAGCTGGCTAACTCCTATGGCCTCTTCCGCCGGATGACCGGTCTGGGCGGGCGGCCCGAAGTGGTGCTGGAGGGCAGCTATGACGGGCACCACTGGACGGTAGACGTGCCCGCGGGCCACGCAGGGAAGGGGGAGGGGTCCCTCCGGTCCAGCGGGTAGTGCTCACGTGCTCTGCCGGGCAGGAGATCGAGTTCATGTACAAGCCCGGGAATGTGAGCCGGCCGCCCCCTGTCGTGGTGCCCCACCAGCCCCGCCTCGACTGGCAGATGTGGTTCGCAGCCCTGGGCCCACACTCTCACAGCCCCTGGTTCACAAGCCTGGTCCTGCGCCTGCTGCAGGGCAAGGACCCTGGTGAGGCCCGGCGGGGAGTTGGAGGGGGGTGGCCCGTGGGACAGTGGCAGGGTCTGGGGGAACGGGGGGTGTGGGCAGGGCAGGCTGGGGCTGAGGGGCCCTGGCTGTGCTGAGCCCCGCTCCCTTGCAGTGATCCGCCTCATCCAGAACGACGTGGCCAGGTACCCTTTCCACAGGCAGCCGCCCACCTACGTGCGGGCCCAGCGCTATAAGTACCAGTTCTCACGTCCTGGGGAGCAGAGGTAAGGCCAGGGTGGCGGGGGTGCTGGGGTCTGGGCTCGGGCACCCCTGAGCACCCTGCCCTGTTGCAGCCAGTGGTGGCGACGCCAGTGGGTGGAAGAATTCTTCCCGCCAGTGTCCTTGGGGGACCCAACGCTGGACATGCTGCTCAGACAGTTTGGCCTCCAGGTGGGAAGGCGTTAGGGAGGGGGGGGGTGGCGGGGGGGACCCTCCCCCACAGGGGTGGTGCCCGCGGACCTCCCTCAATCCTACCCCCACAGGACAAGAGCCCGCCCCGAGCACGCAGCTCTGGCAACGCCCTGGCCCAGGCCCTCCGCTGGATACGGAAACAGCTGTCTCCCCTGGAGGCTTCCACCTTGCTCTGGGGGCTCCTCGCCGCAGTAGGGGCCATTAGGGTCATGCAGGCCCTGCTGGGGCCCCACCCCGCCCACTCCTCTCCTCTGGCCAAGGAGAAGCACAAGCCAGCCCCCAAGAAGGACTCTGGAGCTGCCGGCAAACAGCCCGCCCCAGCCCCTGACAACAGCAGCAGCTCCCAGACTCCCAGGAGGAAAAAGTAGCTGCGTTGTCAGCCCCGTGTCCAGAGGGGGTCAGGTGCCCACACATCTCTGGCCTCTGAGGCAGGACACAATCCAGCCAGCGTGCCTTAGCCGACTGCCATGACAGATGCAGGTTGGGGTGCTGTCCTCTCGGGCAGGCTTTGGCCATCCTGCTGCTTGGAGCGCACACTCACCCCAAGACACACGCCAACCGTGTTCCTCCCCAGCGTACCCCCTGGCCTTGATCCACAAGGCAGGCATGTGACCCAGCTCAGGGTCTTTCCCAGGACATTGTAACCAGGGCTGTGGGAAGCCCTTTCCCTCTGTAAGGAGCCAAGTCTGATGCCCCAACCCCGCCCCTGCACAAGACGGGGTGAGGCGGACCTGCTGAGGAAGTGAGGGAGGGGGAGGCAAGATCCTGGGATCCAGGAACCAATAAAGGCGCCTCTGTGCTTGATCTCGTATCTGATGTCTCCTCCTTCCCACTTCGCAGGCCTGAGGACAGTGGGCCTTCCCTGCCTCTGGCGGGGGACGCAGTGTGGATGCTGTCCCGCTGATAGGTGATCTGGCTTCTGGGATGCCTTCATTCTCCCCTCCTCAACCTTCCCCCTATAAAACACATAAGGGCGTGGTCCAGCACAGCCTGGCCGACCTGTCAGCACCACACATCAAGTCTATGAGGTGGCCAGCAGTAGA